TCACCCTACGTAAAATTTATTATTATATACTCTCAAAATAAAGCTTACGTGATCCAATTTTTTATAGAATAATTTATGTGGTCCTATACAATTGATTTTGTCGTATGGTCAGACAATGACTGTAGCATGTGTATCATTTATGATATCATTTCCAATAGAAGAAAAACTAAACATATTTAGATAGTTTGAACAATGAATTCCATCAACCTTTTAATTTATATTCATCGTGTGTTTAGATATTAGTTGATAAAATTAATTTGAGATCAACATGATTTTATAAAATTAATTAATTTTAAAGTAACGTACATTACTTTTGTTTGGATAATAAATACTTAAAAGTAATGTTTTCTTTAAAGAATTTTTTTGGAATAGTTTGACTCAATTAATTTTGTGTGTAAATATTAAAATATATTTGATTGTTTATGTATACTGTAATACCTGTATTTCTTTTCTTTCTTTGCTTCACTTTTACCTTCATTTTTCTAATTCTCCTTCATTTTCTTCCAAAGGCCGAGCACTTGGTAGAGTAAGGAAGATTCAAACCCCAGAGTTGGAAGACTTCTCGTCTTCTTTTCATTTTTGAAGCTTCTTCTTCCTCCTTCTCGATGTAGCTCGAAATTGTTTCACTCCGAATTTAAGGCCAGGGAAGTTCACATTTTTTTTTCTTGATTGAATTGTTGTGCTGGATGTTATTTTTAGATGCGGTTATATATGGATTGGAGTTAAGGAAGTGGAAATGAAGATGAGATTTCGAGGGAAGTTGAAAATGTGAAGTCTTTGAATGAATCTATGGTTGCATGTTGATGATTTAGGATATTTCTGTTGAATTACATTGTGGAGATTGTTGTATGTGCTGTGAGTTTTCTTGGATTGCAGGTTTCTAGATGAAAAATCAAAGTTGTTGTGTGTTGGTTTTGAGCACGCGCCGGGCGCGCATTCAAGGCGCCAGACTAGCCTTTAACAGAGAGTCAAATCTCTCATTTGCGTCGAGTGCGAGGTTAGTCACGCCCGACAAAAACTTGAATTTAAGCCCCTAGTTAAAGGGGCGTCGGGTGTGGGTTGAGGCACGTCGGGCATGATATCAGTAAGTGGTGGTGTGAGTTTTCTACTGAGGTCACGTCAGGCATGAAGAGGAATGCATCGGGCGTAACCTTGGTAGAGAGTCACACCATTTTATGCACTGAGCACGAGAACTCCCATGTTATGCGCGGATGAGATAGAGAGTCTCGATTTGATTCACACTGGGCAAAAATTTAATTTTGTCAAACACATTTTAGATGGTGAGTCTCTGACTTGCTGGTGTCGGGTGCGGGTTGGAGCGTGCTAAGCGCGAGTTGTTGGATAAAGATAAGTGGTGTATGTGTGGATTTAAGTTATTTACACGTTGCATATGGTTGATGATGTGATGATGATGTAAAAATATATAAGTTGTTTATGTTGTAAAGTTGCTTATTCAAGTTGATGTTTTGATGACTGTAACTACTAAAGTTGTTTACTTAAGTTGTTATATGATGTATATTATTGTAAAGTTGGGGACATATAGTGAAGATATATGTCCTAAATTGATGATACATAATACTAAGGTGATAAGTTGAAAGTTGTTTTAAAGTTGAATCTCTTAGTATTGTGTGGGCAACATGGAAGTAGTCGACCCATGTTATGGTTGAATGACCAAGTGCGTAAGGTATCTAGTTAGAGATGTAGTCTTTGACTAGGTACTAGAGGGTGCATGGTATTTGGAGGGCAGTAGGTGGACTAACTCCACATGTGGATTGGTGATGCAAGCCAAGGCCGTGGTAAACTCATATCCAAACCCTTATGCCCTAATAGTAGTATTAGACCTCCTAGTCTAAGTGTCACACTTGAGTAACCAACTATTATTGTCTATACCTGGTTCTCTTCGGAGTCACCTAAACTGCTCAACCTCAGTTGTTTGAAATCTCATAAGTTTTATATGCGTGACAACGCATTAGTTGATGTTACATATGTTATTGTATATGTTGATGTATGTGTTGTGTTTTAAAGTTGAAATTGAAAGTTGAATGATTGTATTCTATATTGTTGCTTATTTCATGATGATATTGTTTTATGATGATTGTTGTTGTGAGCTTACCCTGACTATTTTTCTTATGGTTGAAACTGCGATGACCATACTTTGGTATGCGAGCAGATCAAGAATAGATGCTTGGTTGTGATGGGCAAGCAAGCTTTTGACTGAGACTCAGCCAAGGAGTTGATTCTTTTTGTTGTTCTTTTTGAGATCGGCTGCCTAGTTGTTTTGTATAGGACATTATAACATACTTTCAATGGTATATATGTATATGAGATCTTTAGTTGTTTATTCTCATCGTGTATATAGCTGTCTAGATGTAATATTTTATTTTATGCATGTATTTGTATGGTATGGACTGTGTTATTGATACACTGTCTACTAACGTTATAGACTGTGTGAGACCTACAAGATCGTTACATATATATTTTATTTTTATTATAATTAATTCGTTGGAGATATATAATTTTAAATAAAAAATTATAAATAAATTTAATGTTAATTATTAAATTAAAAATACGTGTATAGTATTTTTTTTTATATATTTTGAAATAGAACTATAATCATAAACCTTATAAAAACACTAAAATTGGATCAAATAGATAATAAGTAATAAATTAGCATAAGAATGCAACACGAAGGTATCTAAATTAAAAAAATACAAATAAAAAACATAATGTAAAGTGAAATATAACTTTTACATATAAAAGTACATGTCTGAAATTTTTTATTTTGAAGAGATATATGTGTGAAGCTAAAAGAGAAAAAATACGATAATTAAAAATTTAAAATTGAATTTGGATGTAGTAAAAGAGTTTTATATTGCTTCGTCTCCTTCGTGATTTTCTAAAATTGAAACTAATTTTATTTTGCTTACAAAACATCTCAATTTTTGAGTCAAACTAGGTTTTAACTCAATTCACCGCGATCTACTATATATAATTTCACCAACAAATCAAATATGGACTGACGTCAACTTAAGCCAATTTTCTAACTGATTTTAAGGGCACGGTGAGGGAAGTAAGTAGTCAGATATGTGCAAAAAAAGAAAAAATTATATAAAAAATTATTAAAAGAAGACAAAATAATGAAATAATAATTATTTTTCTTTCATAGACAGCATATATTTAATGTAATTGCATTTTTAGAATTTAAACTTGTATAACATTAAAAAAAAAATTATGAATAAAAATTAAAACAACCACAACTAGAGAAACTTAAAAGTTTGTATATATTACATCTTGGCTCTTGTCTCTAAGCCGATTTTAGTGATATCATTAAAATCAATTGATATATGTATTGGATGTTTGTTTTACCGTTTAAATATCATTCAACGAATTTTTTTTCAATTTTCAAAGCAGAAAAATAGAAGTAAGAGAAGGCATAAATTACCGTTTCATTCAACGTGAAAACAAACACGCTAAATCGTTGACTGTCAATAAAATTTAATTAGAAGCGTACTTTTCTAACTTTTTTTTTTCTTCTCTGTTTTCTCTTCTACTTGCGTGTTTGTTTGGATTTGTTTTTAGCCATACTTACAAAATTAAAATAAGTAAGCTTATTAATTAAACTATTCTACGGTCCCCAACCCAGTGTCTTCTAGTACAAATTCCTTTCACTTACGCATTAATAATTACTTTTGCTAACCCGACTTGGTCCACTTTAAGAGTAAACGTTACCAGCGTCCAGCGTGCTATATACTGCCATGATTAAAATAAGGAAAAATTGCAAAAGCGCGTGTTCAAAATTTCAAATACAGAAATATATCACACTTTGGATTCTATGCCATTTTTTTTTATTTGCATACATAGTAAATCTAACAATTTAATTGTAATAACTTCTGGATTCTATTCTATTATCTATAGTATATCACGGGTGTTCAGCAAATTTTGAATTACCATAATTATTCCAGTCAATTTATTTTTTTCCCATTTTTATCCCTCTTTTAAGTATAGGTAGATCATTATTAATATGAAAATCAACACATATAGTGATAGTGTAAAAAAAATTAAACAATAATTTTGACTTATAAATTATTATATGTACTAAAATTAACTTTTATCATACAATTTTTTTTTAATGATTAGATGATTACATAAAAATTTTAACATACATTAAACTCTTAATTAATAATAAAAAAGACCCGTGCTTCGTTTATTATGGTAATTTCTGATGAGTACCATACAACTGCAGAAAATAACATAATTGTAAAAAGTATCAAAATTTAATTTTTATTGAGTTTCTTAAGGTGAAATCATTATAACTTTTGCCGAAAATTAAACTAATTGTATTGATCCCATGGAAAGGCAACTATGAACAAGTTAAACTTATGGTGTATTTGGTGGGCATGATTTACCACAAGAGAGCAGATTTGCAAAAAAAAAAAAAAAAAAAAAGAAAGAAAGAAAGACAAAAATACATATGTTTAGGAGCACCGATTTATGTGAATTTTTTTTTTTTTTAAATAAGAAAGATTACAAAGATGTCGTAACGAAGATTGAACCTAAGTCCTTATACTTCTAACTACTCCAACTCCTCCCTACCCAATCACTAGATTGATTTATGTGAATTTAAAAGTGGAAGTGAGTCCCTTGGAAAAAAAAAACAATTATCCACTAATATAAGTTAATTTACATAAAATTTCAAAAAATGATAAAAATACATCGTTTATTTCCCCCTTATTTTTAATCTTATTCATCTAAAACACTTGCCACATTTAATTATGCATAAATATAATTGACTAACATGATAAAATATATTTAAGTGATAATATATATAATAAATAAAATTAACTAATTTATCAATACATAAAATTTAACTATATAAAATAAAATTTTATTATGTCAACTTACTTTTATTTCTCACATAATTTTATTCTACAAATTAATTATAAATTTCATTGTATTTTATCCTATTAGCTATCGCCTATCAAACATATTCTCACTTATTCCGTTACATCCCTCGATTTCTCTTATGTATGTATGTGAAAATTGAAAAGCTTTAAAGAGAGAGAGAAAACTAGAGAAAACTAGTCCAAAGAAAATAATAATAAATAATGAAAGAACCTTAGAGATTATAAATAAGTTCACTCAGGGTCCCCTACAGGCACTGCCACTTGTGTTCTGTCTTGAAAATCCATTAATTTAGCTTTCAGTTTTTTCCTCACATATCATTCTCCATGGAGAACTTGCTGGGTCTGCTCAGAATTCATGTTCAAAGAGGTGTCAATCTTGCTATCAGAGATGTGGTTAGCAGCGACCCTTATGTTGTCATCAAAATGGGGAAGCAGGTTAGTTTTCCTCAATCACCTTCTGTGATCATGTAATTTGTTGTCACACTTGATGAATGATAATTTGGTTCTGTCACAACTTTCTTCTTGTTGACTTTTTCTCTGTTAATTTTTCTCCGAATTTTCTTTCTGTGATCTTAATCCCCTCTTTTTATGTGTCTTTTCTTTCTCTCCCCCACGTTGATTCTGGAACATGCACTTACCAGATTCTTGCTTTGACCACAAGTGGAGTTATCTGTTTCATTTTTCATGTCATCTCAGTATCGATTTGATTGTTTTAGAGTTTTGTTGGAGAGGAATTCTCACTGTCTGATGAGTCTGAAATAAATAAATAAAAGCTTATATTCTCCCTCTCTTGCACATCACCTGCACCTAAATTCTAAGAATTTGATTCCTTTGATTCCGAGTGTACCCTTCATTTTAGAGGAAGCTTCTGAATTTGCTTAGATAGTCAGTGAAGAAGATAAAAGACAGGTAACAAGCCAAACAAATTCGTCTTGAAGGGTAGTGTCAAATAACAAGTCCCACTGATAGATTAAAAATAAATAAAAGAGTATATGAGCAAAAGATTAGGATTTTTCATCTGATTAAAATATTTTTCAACAAACAAGGTACTTTGAATTAAAATCTCACACAGTCATGGATATGGTCGGCGAATGAATTATAATAAACTTTGAGCTTTGTGTAGGCTGTTCTTTGTCAGCTAGTGAAGGGGTCTTTTCCAATAAAAGGATAATATTTCTGTTTGCATCCCAAAGGAACCTTTCTGTGATTCTTTTTTCCATTACATCTAGATTATGCACTCAATAATCTATAATTTTGCTTAATTATAGATAGGCTGAAAATTGAAAACTTCATGTGTAAGGGGTAATTGAGTGTACATTCTGAATTTCTAACTATGTAGTCTGATTAGAATGCAAGTATAATTAATGTTATGTTTTTCCATGATTTGGGACATTATATTAAATGACATCAAATAGTAGATGCGTAGAAACAAACCTTGTGCATTTCTTGTTGTCTATACATCCAACTCATTACTTCATTTCATGTCTCATATGCAGAAGCTGAAGACCCGGGTAGTCAAGAAGAATCTAAATCCTGAATGGAATGATGATTTGACTTTGTCTATTTCGGACCCTCATGCTCCAATCCATCTAGTAAGTAACTTTTCTTATAAGTTATAATATTTATGTTTCAGTACTACACAGCAAAATTTGAGTCCAAAAAAAACAAAAAAGAAATTTGCATATACCATCGGTGAATGTTTGATTCCACATTCATGATCCCCATTTAAACAAGAATTACATTAAAATTGATGAAAAATAACTAATTGTTGTTTTCTCTGATCCACATCCAACCAAAATTGATGTGAATCCAAACATGTTCAGTCATGCTTCTGATGCATATCCACTGTAGTCCATGTAGGACTGAACATTTGAGCCATATGAACATTATCTTAGCATCAAAAGGTGTTAAATTTTGGGGACTAGGAACATTAACATATGTGGACTAGGTGCATATGGAAGATCATGGAAGTTTGAATTAAAAATTAATTCAATTTATCAGCAAATTGATCTATTTAATAATGTTTCTGTCCTTTGATGCAGCATGTGTATGACAAGGACACATTTAGCTTGGATGACAAGATGGGGGATGCTGAGTTTGCCATAGGTCCATTTATTGAAGCAGTAAAGATGAGGTTGCATGGTCTCCCCAATAATACTATAGTTACAAAAGTGCTACCTTGTCGACAAAATTGCTTAGCAGAAGAGAGTCACATAGTGTGGAAGGATGGAAAAGTTGTTCAAAACATGGTTCTTAGACTAAGAAATGTCGAGTCTGGGGAAGTGGAGCTGCAGTTGCATTGGATTGACATTCCTGGTTCAAGGCATCTCTAGATCACACCTCTCTTCTTTGTCAACGTTCAAAATGTTGAAATGTCTTTTTCTTCTGTTGGTTTGTCTTTGCAATTACTAGTAGCTAGTGAAAAAGAATGGGAGTTGCTGTTTCCCTAGTTGTAATGTAAAGCTGACTTTCAATTATATGCTAGTCTTATGTAATAATATTGTACAAGAAACACAACAGAAACATGTTGTACGTTTTTAGAATATCCTTAGTATGTAATTGCGAGGTGGTATATTAAATTTTACGGTATTAATAGTTTAAGCATTTTATTGGTGATATGATTATTCTATGATAACAGTCCTATTTGTTTTTGTTTTGGGATTCAGTTCTTATAAGAACCTTTATTTTAGAGGGAAGAGTTTGTAACTTCATTAATTGATGATAAAATTGACGGAAATGTTCAATGTTTCGGAAGTTCCGGAGGAAACTGCGCATGAGAAAGATGTGACTGATATATTTTCTTCTATATGTCTTCTAAAAAAAAAAAGCAAAAGCATGTCTATATATAAAAGAAATCAAAAATGTGTTGTAATGTCAAGAGTTAATTTTAGTTTTCTCATTAACTACTAATATAACTTTATCTCGCTGATTTTAGTATGTTTTCCTCTTTTGTTTATCCCATATATGTTCAACTTAAGTAAAATTATTACGGTGAGAAAGTTCTCCATTGAATTATTTTTTTACAAATATAATTTACGTAATATTTTAAAATTAATAATTAAAGATTAATATGTTTATGAAATGTGGCTTCAGTGAATTAAATATTATTTTAAAACTCATAAAAGTACTAAATTAACTCTATATTTAGTACAATGATATATTTTAAGACTTGAATTAAGAATCACTTATTAAACTGAAATAATTCTATAGTTGATGGACGTGTATATAAAAATGAACTTAATAATCAAAATGCAATAAAATAATAAGAATTATATAAAATTCGCTTTACATTAGGGAAAGGAAGTGCAAAAGTTGTTCTAATCTTGTGGTTTGAGTTAAAAGTGAGAAGAAGCCAAGCGGAACGGTGAATCCTCCACCGCTAATTCATTTCAAAACCCCACGTGCTGATCCACGTGCTGATTATAGGTGCAATCATCTTCTAAAATAATGGTGTCACTTCCAAATCCATTCACCACAAAAAAAAAAAAAAAAACACACGCACACACAGAGACACAAACGTTATTGACCTCGAAAGAGGATTGAACATGAACCATAGCGGTGTGATCTGAACGAGTGTCACTGCACAACACAAGGCTTTGAACTATCTACTGCTTTTCTTCACACTCTATCTGTGTAAGTGCTGCATCGTACTCATCTATGCCAAAACACTTTTCGTCTGCTATGATTACTTACATTACATTGCAAATTTCACTCATCAACTGTGCTGGATTTTTGTTTGTAATCACCGCTTTACAAGCTTAGGTTCAAAACCACTTTCGATAATATCAGAGCCAATATTTTAGCGATTATTGATTGTTCCTGTCACGGTTATCTGGCTACAATTGGATCGGACCATTCACTAGACAAATATTCAGTCCAACAAACTTCACGCCAGAAATGTATAGTGTTCAATGTGAGGGGGCGTGATATGGTCATAAAGGTATGTGAGGGGGCGTCATAAAGGTGTATATAAGTGGAGAAGAATCCCAATCTTACAGGACAGTTATAAAGGGCTGAGTTAGTCTCAAACCAGTAGGCAATATGATTCATGTAAGAAGAGGTTTCCCTCTTGTTTGTGTTTTTCTTCTATATACCTCCACTCAAGAACAAAAGAGTTTGGGGTGTAGTTGATTTCTATTTTGAAAAACTGTTTTTAGTATTTTTTTTCTTTTAAATAAAGAAAACAGATACTCATCACTTCAGATGACCCTACTTCTTTAAGCTCAGACCACAAAACAGAAGACAAGAATGAAAAAATTTCTCTCAACTGTTTTTGGTTTTTAAGACACTTGTTTTGGAAGCAATTTTCAGAACTCAATAGATTTTGCATGAGAAATTATTTTAGAGAACAGTTTTTATATCATAAGGTGAGAAGGAAATCAAACAACAGTGTGGTTTCCATAATTCCCATTAAGAAAATTTGTTCATGGTAGGGAAACTTGTTTTGAGTAGATAGGTTCATGGTAAAATTGTGTGAATTAGGACTTTGAGTGGGAGCTCTATATTCTGAATAAAATATTGGACGGAAGCACACTGCTTAAAGGGTGCCGCTACATCCTGCAGTTGCTATGTGGGTTTCACCTACTTTTGTGCTTTCTCTTACTGTAAATTGTTTTGACGGGTGATTTTGCCAAACTGGTGTGCTGGACATGCCTTTTTAGAGTTTGTTAATTGGGTTTCCTGTTAAGATATGCTTTTGTGCTGGACATGCCTTTTTAGAGTTTACTGTTGATTGAGAATTATATATTTTAAAATTAAAAGGGGTTGTGTCTTTGGTAGTTAGCAGTTAGGGATGTGTGAAATAAAGGACCTGCGAATCATTTTTATGGAGTTAGAGACTTCAATATTATGTCTTATTGGCTGATTAAATGTAATTGATGAGGAATCTCTGGGTTTTAAGATGCTTCTGTCCACTTTGGAAATCTGACCAAGATGACTGATCTGTTTCTAGAGTAAGTCATGTCAATTTAAATGTGAACTCTTTTTGGATAATGAGCTATACTAGGAAGGAAAAGGAATTTTGTTATGTTGATGGACAAGGACAATGTTGATACGTAAATGTTAAATTGAGCTACTTGATGCTGAGGATTGATGCTGAGGATAAATCTTGTCACCTCAACCTATTTTCCTTTATTGATATTTTAAATTATTTGCAATCACTGAATTTAATTGTCGAAGGTAATTAGTTCATAGTCACGTGCATTTTAATTGGGTCACCTTGATGATATTCAACAAACATCCTATTGGAAATAAAAAAATATTTATTTTAATTCACATGATTTGATAACCACAAGCAGAGAAAATCTCAGTCTCTATTTGTCCATCACCAAAGGAAAGGAAAGGGGAAATAATTATGAGATTATTTTATAAGATGGTTGTGATGTTTAAAATATTAATTGTCATCCCCGCAGGCTACACTTTTAAAGCCAAAACTTGTCATGTATGAATTGCTCCTAACTTTTGGTTTTATAATGTTTGTTGCCATTTAACTTAAGTTGAAACATCTTGTTCGGAATGCATTTCATATTTTCCCATTATGTCATTTATCCTGACATTTTGGTTTGTGGTGTTACTCTGCTGATTCAACATATCTTCTTGAACAGGTCCTGATGTTCTGTTTTCTTTTCTCTTTGACAGGGGAAATAACAATCTCTTCATAATGGAGATAAGTATTACTAGGTAAGCTTATGCAATCTATAGTAGTGAATTAACCTTGAAGCCATGTGAAGCATCACCATTGTTCTTAACCCCTCTCATAATTGTTTCTATTTAAATTGGTAACCTTTGCTCTTGGTGAAATTGTTTTAATTGTTGTATATTATTGTCTTGTCTGAGGTTGTAAATTATCCAATACTAATGATCCTATTTCGTTCATAATTTGAGTAGGTCTCATCTTGAAGCACAAGGAATATTCTTTTCAAATATTTCAAGAACGATAGGATGGGAAAGTGCTAAGAAATTTCAATGTAATGTGGCTGCCCAGAGTTCAAGACGGAACATTCACAGAGTGGCCTCTTCCTGTCATGCTTTTACTGCAGTTTATCCTAGAATGCCTTTTATCTGTAGAGTAAATTCTATGCCAGTTAGTTTACAGGAATCTGCATCATATGGAGATAATTCTTTTGAGGATGAGGATCCATCTACAGACTCGGAAGAGGAAACTTTGGCAAAGCCACTTACCTGTGAGCAGGTATTCATTATTTATCCAATTTATGCTTTCCTTTTGAAATCACACCACTTCCACTTGATTATAGGCATGCTCTCAACTTCTTGAATACCTGAAATTGAAGAAATATATCATAATTGTTTTTGATTGTCCTAAAAGTCCTAACTAACCATGTTGTTTTTCTCTTTTTTGAGAGCAGATTGTTTTGAGATTATTTTTAGCATGTCATTTAACTATGGACAAGCGTTGTGAACTGTCAAAAACCTTCAAACTGTCAAAACCACTGACCATTTCTCTCATATCTCTAGTTTTGTCACAATTTTCTTCACACTGTCAAAAATGGTTTTCTCTAACTACAGTCTGTTAGAGAACTAGGTTGGCCTATCTTTAGTAATCTTAAAATAGAGGATTGATGGACGTTTATGATGCTCATGTCAGAAAGAGTGAATAATACAGATATAGAAATTATAATCAATTCCTTCATTTGCTGTGGTGTTATTTTCTTTGCCCATTTTTTTTTGGCTTTGGGTTGTTTTTGGTGTGCCAAGAGGTTAGCCTATCTTTATTTATCCTGAAACACCACCTTGTATCACATTATTCTCTAAATAAAAAATGATTCACCAATAACATACTCCTATCATGGGGATTCAGAAAAATAAATAAACTTGGGACAAATGTAAGGGTCCAGGAAAACTAATAAAGTGAAACTATTTGAAGTCTTTAAGTGCATTTTTTGATGAATTACTATTATTTAAATGAGTCGCTCACAGTTGTTGTATGTTGGGTTATTACTTTCTAAAATAAGAGAAATCAAACCAAAAGCTATGGTTTTATCAAGTTCCAAAAATTGAACACCCTTTATTTTATGCAGTAATTTTGAAGAAATTGCAATGGTAGTGACCAATTGTATTTTTTTACTTTTTTTTGTTTTATTATTTTTGGGGAATAATTTGATATGGTGAACTTGCATGTTTAGTGCGTGCTTACTTTATTGGGTTTAAGTTACCTTACATTCTAAGAAATGGTTAGTTTGTTTTAGGCTTGGGTGATCAAACTTGTTGAAGATACCTTTTTTTTTTCTTCTTATGTGTATGCAACTTGAATTAGTATATCATACTTAGATATTTGGTTTTAAATCTTATTGAGCAGATATCGGCACTGCTTGCTGACACTCAGAGATCAAGACTCACTAAGAAGCTTAGTGAAGCCAACCAGCAGAATCGGTTCTTAAAAAGACAGGTGTCTGCATATATATATATTTGATATCTTTTGCATTACCATTAAATTGAAATCAAAGTGCAATTTTCTTTATGATAATAATTATTCCGGTTTTTGGCAGTTTATGCTAATTACCTAAATGATCAGAGTTGGATCACATTCTTGCATTAAAAAAATTGGCAAATCTTATTTGGGCCAAACTATAAATGTATCATTGGGAAGAAGACGAATTGGATGTTAATAATAGCCCATGGGATGGTTTTAATCTATTAAGTATGATGTCAATGAAACAAGATAATATTTTTTTGTTACATTTCTGATAAAAGAAATGGATAAACAGGAAAATCTGATACAATTTGATGGCTTGACATTTAATATGCCTAAGTGGAAGGAAATGTGAATTTGATAAATTCTTTAGGCTTTGACATTTTTCATAATTATAATAGTTCATTAATGTAAGACGTTAGTGCTGAAACTCTTGTTTGAATTTGATAACTAAAAGCTATCATCGTTGACTGATATATTGATTGCCATAAAATGGAAGCACAAATGCAGATGGAGTGTGTTGGGAATAGACTTGTTATCTGATATTTTTGTTCTTTTGTCATCATCAGCATAAGTTGAGCATAATTGTAGTACGTTTTATGTTAAAACTTGTTTGAGTCTTCTGAATTTCAGCCTTTCTTTATTCTCTTCTCTTTATTTTTGGGTTCAGGGCTCTTGTTGCAGGGTGTGTATAGATTTTATTATCAAACTCATAAGTTATACCAACTTCTGATTATACACTAAATCATTTTTGGGGGTATTTATCTTTTCCTAGTATTTTTAGATGTCATTATCAGAAGATAGAATGAAGATGTATAAATGCCAAAGTCCTCTTGCACTAAGATCCTGTATCGGGTTCTTTTTCTCAACAGTTGCATGTAAAGGAGGATGCATTGATAAAATTCAAAAGTGAACTTGCTGTCATGGAGCTTGAGATTCAGGTTAAAATTTATAGCCACCTTCGCAAATTTTATGCTGTTTTTATATTGCCAACTTTTCTTTGATATTTTTTGACCAACAGTTTTCATAATTTATAACTGAACGAGTATACCTTTCATGGATGCAGATCACCTGTCCCATGAGCCTGTCTCATTTCCTGTCCCACAAATAAAACATCAACACGTTATGTTTTTATCTTAATTGCTATTGATTTGAGAATTGACTCTTGAAATTTTTTTAGGACTTCTGATGGTGGTTTATCTCTTCTATTCCCATTTTAAACAGAAGTTGCGTCTCCAGAATACTCTTCCTTTAGTGTGCTTTCTGTAGCGCTATACACTTTTCAGTTTTCACTGCTTGAAGTCAAGAACTCCAAGCCATAAATCATGTTATCATAGAATATTATTTTTAGCATTTTGATTTTTTGAGTTTATGCATATATTATTAAGCTTGTTATTAGTTATACTGTGTTGATAAACATGAAATGGGAGAATATTAGTTTAAAATTTTGTTGAAGCTTCTATAATACTGAACTAATAACTTAAGATATAATTATAATATCAAATTTGGTGTCTTAAAATATAATGATACTGATTGTATTATAAAACTATTTCAACAATTAAATTAATTTGATTGAAATTTTAATAATAAAAACTATATTATATTAATAAGATAATCACGAGTAAATGAATGTCATCTAACAGATTAATCGCAGTTTAATTCTCTACTCAATCAATTATTGAGTTCTGATACTTGTGTTGTTAATTGTGGTATGCGTGACTTGCTTTCCCCACTGAGATTCATTTGTTGCTTTATAGAATTGTTCAAACATTAAAATATGTTAAGAATCATATTTGGTGCTAAGATATTATTTACTTTGGGGTAGGCTTTGGCCAGACTAGCAGAAGAAATTGCTCAATGTGGTATTCCAGAAGGTTCAAGGAAGATCAATGGAAAGTACATTCATTCTCACCTTGTTGCCAGATTAGAAGGTATAATGGTATTTGCCCTGATTACATCCCATGATTAGAGCCAATCCTATATGATTCACAAGTGTACTTCCTAGTTCTGGATAATCATTTCTTGATGGTTGTAGACTAGAATGTACTAATAAAATTTCACAACGATGTCTTTTCTTGCCAACTTTGACCCTATTGAGTCCTTATCGTTGCAAATGCTTTGTGTTTACCTACATAGCTGTACGTGGACAACTGAAGGGACAAATTAAGGATGTTGAAGTGGCACAATCGAAGGAGGTTTCTGTGTTTTGGGTTGGCATGGCTGAGGTAAACACATACAAGATTAGACTTCCAAATGTTGAATAAGAATTTGGTTTGAAACTTTGAATTGTGGGAACTTGTTTTGCTTAAATTAATGACTATTTGTATAATGTACAGCTTTCTATTGCTAATGTTAAGAACGTAATTGAATTAGTTACCTGATGCAACTAACTTGAGTCATTGGAAGTTATCTGTTCCCTCTCCCTCCTCTGGTATTCTCACAAAAATTTCAGGTTTATCAATAAACACCTACAAATTTCTTTGCCTATAGTGTATATTATCAAGCTATTTCAATCGCAAGATCTGATTTATTTAGAAATTGTATCCTATGAAATATATGTGGCATCCTTGCTTGTGTAAGCAGACAAATAATCTGCAAAAATTTGATATTCAGCACCAAGCATTGGCTTTTAAGTGTTTAGGATATAAATTAATTGTTTCACTAAGTCTATGCCACATTATGATATAGGGGTGGTTTCAGAAATTTAATGTGTTGGCTAATACCTAAATTTCCTGTTTGAACTTTTATTTTCCATCAGAGCGTGCAAATTATGGGCACCTTTGATGGCTGGAGCCAGGGGGAGCACCTTTCACCCGAGTATACCGGTTCTTTCACAAGGTTTTCAACAACATTGATGCTCAGGCCAGGAAGGTACCATGTGTCAACCCGCTAAAGCTTTTGAACTCACCTTATTTAAGGCCTATTTGGATAAGCTTCTATAGTAGCACTTCTAAGAGAGAAAAATAAGAAGAAAAATTAAAATAAATTTTTTCATAAGTTAATTTGCAAAAATTAAAAATAAGATTTTGAGAAAGCTGATAAAAGAGAGTTTTTTTTACAAATTAACTTATGTATAATCTGGTTTTAGCTTATGGAAAAATTCATTTCATTTTTTCTTTTTATTTCTTCTCTTCTAAAAGTGTTTCTTAATGAATTTATCCAAATAGACCATTATAAGTCTTATTCTAACCCAAAAACAAAAATTATTATATAGGTACGAGATCAAATTCTTGGTAGATGGTGAATGGCAACTGTCACCAGAGTTTCCCGTTATTGGGGAAGGATTAACGAAAAATAATTTGTTAGTTGTTGAGTAATGATCCCTATTTTCAATCCCAGTAACGGATACATTAGCAGAAATTTGTGTTATTTACTAGAAGTTATTAAAATTTACCTTCGTTAGCATATAACCACAAACACTTTTGAGTGTTAATTTTGTTGCCTAGCACCTGTTGAATGCACAAACACTTGTAATTATATTTTAGGTGTGAGCTAAAGTCATTTCTTAGTTAATAGATAGAGATAAATTTCTTTTGACGTGGAGTGATCACCAAAATGAATTTTACCTCTTCTAATAAAACCTTTTTTTTTTGGTACTCATGGTTACGAATTAAACCTTGCTTAATATGTTTTAGAGATTCAATTATTTATCAATTCGGTTGAATCTTGTTGCTACTCGTAATTCTATTTTAAACTCATGCTGGGAAAATATTATTAGTATTTTTTAAAGTTTCTTTACGAAATTGATAATTTAAATATATATATATATATATAATATTCCAACGAGCAGTAAGCTTAACTTTTGTTTCATAACTAGATTTTGTTTTCTTTTCATCACAAATCTTTTTAAAAAAACCTAACAAGTTTTGGTGAGTTTGGAAATTTCAAATGCAATTCAAACACATTTTTTCCTTATAATTTTGTAAATGAACATGGCATTGGCATACAATGTGGACATAAACATAAGTACCTCGGCTTGGTCAACTCCTTTATTGTTTTCTTTTAATTTTATTTTCATGAAATAGTTGTTGGATGTCATTGTTATATTTCATAAGATTGGAATGAAAATGAAAAAATATAGGCTGTAACATGAAAATAGAACTTGAAGTAATGTAAATTCAAGTGACAATTTTTTAATTTTCACTTGCAATGAATTAACAATTTATTTTTTTTAAAATTTCTTTCATTTTTACGTTAAATGAAATTACGCTCTTAAACAGATTGATTATGGAAAAAAAAAAAAAGATACACTAAATTAGCATGTACCATATTGTTAAATCAAAGCTTACCGAGTTATTTTCGATCATTAATTAAAAAAGAAAAAAAAATATGCTGCAGAATAAGTCAATATGTTACCATAAAATGTCATGGAATTACGTTTTATCAATTGATAAATATAAATGACTAGCTTATGCGATAGTGTTTCGAGTGATTTAGATTTTTTTTAATTTTTAATTAATTCAATTCTTTATTTTTCATATCTATTTATGAATTTAAATTTTAATATTTTTAAAATAAATGATTAATAATTAGAAATAATATTATGTCATAATGTAAATTATTTTTTAAAATTAAAAATATAATTTATATATTTTAAAATATCTATTTATATAAATTTTAAATATAATTTTTATATTTAAATATAATTCTTATATTCAAATATAATATTTATTTATATATACTTTATTATAAAATTTAGTTATATATTACAATGTGTGGCCTGTGAAATATAATTACTAAAATACTAATTAACTTTATAAAGGAGTATTAGTAGTTGTGAAACTTAATAATAGGCATAAAAATTGAAATAAAAAAGTGAAAGAGTTTAACTATAGTATCTTTACAAAACTATCACTCATAGGTAGTTATTACATCCGGCTCCAATATTACTGTATGACCTCCACTATAATACTCTAACCCTACTTCTATATCACGTGTGATTATCGTAATCGATATCAAATGAAAGTATGCAAGGATAAACTAAAGTAAAAAAGAAACAACACAAATATATCACAAAAAACACCACATCACCATTTCAACTTTATTAACACAACAACTAAACAGCGCGATATATAACACATAAATTAACATAATGCAACTCTCACTATCAACACAACATCATAGATCATCTCAACACACAACATAGTAAAATAGAGGCTCATGTTTAATATATAGGGGTTAATTGTCAACAATTTTTTTCTTATGTTTTTATTTATTATTTCTACAATTTTCCAAAAAAAAAAATGAATATGTCAAATAATTATCTCTTTATGTTTTCTAATCTATCATATTTTTTATTTAAAATTTAAATTTCGATATTTTTAAATAAGGTTTTTCATAGTTATAAAAACTTTATACTGTAATTTATTTTTTATCGTAAATTTAAAATAAAATTTATATATTTAAAATATTTATTTATTATGAACTGAATTATAATATAATTATATATATATATTGAAATATTTATTTAATATAATTTGAATTATGTAAAATAATTAAACATTTATTCCATGTGGTTGAAATACTAATTTTACAGTAATAAATGCATAATGATTGCTGTTGACTGATTAAAAGTAAAGAATAATTATTGTCAACAAATACGATACTGTATTATTGGTTTGTAACAAAAAAATACTGTATTATTGAGAACACATATGTGAGTGCTAATAATCCACTTGTCCAATTATTGACCAATAAAATATTAATGCTAGTGCGTTATCAGTTGGCAATAAAGATATTATTGCATAAAATATTTAACTTTTGTCTTCAATTAATATTAAATTGATTTCGAGTCCGATTTTTTTTTTATATATACTAAAAAGGTATTTTTCAATTAAAATTTTTGTTTAAATTTCTTAATAATTTAACCTTATATTATAAATTATAATATTCTCTCTCTTTTTTTTTTTTTGAAAAATTCTAATATTCTCTTCTTTTTGGATATGTATTTCAGGAAAATTTTGTCTTTTTAAAATTAATTTTATGCTCACACATTATAAATATGATTTATTCAATGAAAAAGTTCATGTTTGATTTTCATTGTGCATGAAAATATTTTAAGTCACATATAATTATAGTAGCACAAGTGAGGTTAATTTTTAGCTAAGTTTATTAGGAATACTTATGAATCGTGATAGGATCATAAATTAACTCTCTTTTAACTTCATTTATATATTTGATTTTTTTTTCATATTCTATCTCTTTCTATACATCATTTTTTATTCCATTTTTAAATTAAATTTCAATATTTTTTAAAAAAATGTTAATACTGAAAATAACTATAATTATATTTAAAAATAGTTATTTATTATATATAAATCTAATTATAATATAACATATATTTAAAAATATTTATTTATTATAAAGTTAATTATATAAAAATAATAATAAACATTTGTCATATATAATAAAAAATATTAATCACTTTAAAAAAATTATCTTGAACGATTCCTAAATACTCCTAGTAATATATAGACAGTGTTATACTAATAAAATATGTTAAAATCAAATTCTTTCCTAGTACAAATATATAAAACATCATAGATTTAGCAAAGCCTTGCATGCCCACATTTTAATTGTATTTATTCCTATCATCTCATTGCAAAGGTTTTGTTCTTGCAGTATCAATAAATAGTTAAGATTACGTCAGCCTCACCACCACCACCTACTAGAAAAACATATCGTAGGGTTAATACTCGATTTCTCGATCTTCTTATAAAAAAAGAAAAGACAAAAGATCGTGTACGACTTGTACGCCAACACAAGAGATGGTGTGTGAGGCTTAGAATATTTGAAACAATGTCTAATAAAATTTAGCAATATGCTAGATGTAACCCATCTTCTCCTCAAGTTCAAAGGAAAGAACATAATAAAATAGGGAATAATTAGGAGCTAGATGCTAACTTTGACTAGTTTAGTTGTTTATGAATATGAATGGAAACAAAACAAAGAATAAAGAAAGCTTTTCATCCAACACCATCCATGATCCATTCCTTCATGGAAACTTGCCTGCTCCATGCACCATTCGGCAACCCCTCAAAAAGAAAATGGATATTCCACCTTTACTCATTATTTTTTTATATTTTATTTTTGTGTCCAAAACTATGTCCACCAAATGTAGTCTCTATTGGAAAAGTATTATGCTAACAAGGTTTTTCAGTCCACTTTTCGATCCGTTGTTAACTTTCAAATCTTTTGGTGATCAAATTAATGAGTCATCTAAGTTCATAACGTTTTAACCTAAAGAAAAGTACAAAGAAACGAGGGAAAAGTACAATGAAGAGAGAAACTGCTCATTAAAATGCTAATTAAAGTAAATAAAAGTGCTAGTATTGGTAGGGTTTCCAATTCCATCCCACCAAATTGTATAAGAAAACACTACTTGATTTCATCGTTTTTTTTCCTATAAACACAGAATCGTGAAAGATTATAAAAAAAAAATCATATTACATACAACTACACTAAAAAAATGTATGTATATGTTTCTGAATTACTATTTGTGAATTTGGTATGTTGCTAAATCACTAACATAGAGTTTTTTTTTTAATATATATATATATAGTGGAACTAATAGTATAAAATATTTTTACATGATAAAATCATATATCAAATCAATACTAGAATTTAGAACATCATATTAATGTTTATCAATTACTATAAATCATTTATCTCTAATAGACATCTTTGTAGTGAATCTGTTATCACAATGTAACCATATACTTACATGTGTAAGTCAATAACAACTCTTCCATCAGAACTTCTCTCTACCACAAGCCCACAACTACCTCTTAGAAAGAGCAAAAATAACAATCACAAAACTTATAGGAGTTTAGTTGTATCTTGCCCTTTCAATTTTTGAAACCGCAATTTAATATCCCTCCATCACAAAAGCTTAACACATTTGTCTATTGAGTTTAATGTAACGACTTGTCATGATTTTTACACTTAACGACTTAGCTACAAAAAATGGAAAACAAACATGTAACTACCTAGGATTTACATGTAAACAATATCTGGATATATGCACAATATATATATATATACATGTAAAACTTTTGCACCAACAATTAAAGTAATATAATAACTATACAAGCATATAATTATGTACAATAATCCAATATTGAAATAAAAAATTCTAAATTGTCGATTAAGCAACACAACTAAGCCAACTACATTAGAGTAATTCAAAAGATCATCGCCATCACCCAACATGGTCTCAAAACATCTCAGCCCCTAACCTATCCTTGCCATACTCCTATACAAATATGAACATCACAATCCAACCATAAGGAAACAAGGGTAAGCTAGTATTCAAAAAAAAAAAATCATATAACAAGTATAGAAGTAAATGTATCTATACTACCAACATTATCATGTAAACCACACAATATAACACCTCATGACTTACAACTTAACAACACAATAATAACACATTTATCATGACATTTCATAACCTTAAAAGGTAAACAACTTAATCTCATCACAACAATTACATAAC